AAAATGTATGACTAGTGAAAATCATAATATTCTTGGGACAAATAACCACACTGCTATATTAATAATGATTTACAAAGATGATCCACTGTCAGTAATAAATCATAATATATTCTATTAAGAAAATAGAGCAGTATAGGTTGCTTTTTAAAGTATTTATTAGTTATTCAAATTAAGTATGTAAAACTTGTTACTTGGAAATTTTACTTATGTGGAACACCTACATTCCTTGACAATACCAGATAAAGGAAAGTATTATTGTAGTTGATTTAAAATTACAGTAGTTAATTAAAAGCATTACTGTAGTTAATATAAATTGTTTTTAATTTAGAAAAGGGAGTATGGCATACCAGATGAAATGCATAGAAAAATGAAGTACAAGATAGAGATTAAAAACATATTGATGGGGAAACAGGGAATGTTTATATTCTTACTTGAAATTTGGGAAAGTAATATAGGAGGCAGCATTTGAGCTGGGGCAGTGGGGAATTTAGAGTGGATGTATAGCATATTTAGGTAGAGGGGACAGAATGAACAAAAGGAGAGTTACTAAAAGTGAATGACAATCTCCAGGCCCGTGTGGCTGCATCGTAGTGTTCATGAGATGGGGCTGTAGTGCAGAAATATCAAACTGGAAAAGTCAGTTGGGACCAGATCATACACGATTTTAAGTGCTAGGCCAGGGAGTCACACTTTAATGACTGACTAATAAGGAGCCACTAAAGACTTTTGAGCAGGGAAGAGGATAATCCAACCAAGTGATGACAAAGTCAACCAGGAAGGTAAAATTTGGTGAGACTTTTAGGGGAGGGGGGAAAATTGGATGACCAGTTAGAAGGTTAGTGAAGTAGTTTCAGCCAAAAAAAAAAAAAAAAATTATGAGGGCCTGATTATATAGGCAGCAAAAAATAAATGAAAATTAAAATTTAAAAATGCAAAGAGATGTCAGCGATGTATCAGCGACAGCCTGATTATACTAGCAATGAGAATTCAAACATGATTCTTAGGTTAGCATTACCTGTGATTGGGAACTGAGAACTGTGGAGGGGGGGCAGTTTTTGAATAGTTGTGAGAGCATAGAGTAAAGGAGATAAATGACAGTGCTTAGAAATAAGCCTTTTTTTTTTTGAGGTCAATTTTCTTTTTATCACTATAATAGTTTATTTTTGCATCATTTTGTGCCTTTTTTCCATCTCAGCTGTAATCCCTGTGGACTTCCCACCACCAATTCATCTGTGTGCCATTACCATAGTCCAGTACGCTCCCCCATTTTTTTTTGGTTTTTTTTTAAAGATTGATTTATTTATGCATACAGAAGTGAGGGGTACAGGCCAGAGGTGCAGGGGTGGCGAGAGGCTTCACCAGAGACAGAGTAGGGAGCAGAACAGGCAGATCGACGAAGTACACTGCTGAGGGGAGCAGCGGGCGGGTCAGGAGAGGTCTGCCACGCCATGTGGTCACCTCCGGGGCAGGTGGGAATCGAACTCATGTGGAAGCGGCTTTAGATTCTCAGTGCTGTGTTTTAACCCGCTGCGCCACCAGGGAGGGCCCCGCTCCCCCATTTTTTATACCATTCCCCATTCCACCCCATAAAATGTCTCTGGTATATAGTTGCTCATTATTATTATTAATTCCCCTCCCCCGTACTTTGTGCTTCTGCTATGAGTGAAACCATCAGTATTTTTCTTTTTCTTTCTGGCTTATTTCACTAAGCATGATCCCTTCCAGCTCCATCCATGTTGCTGCAAAAGGCATGTTTATTTTTTTTTTGGTTGCTAGTAATATTCCATTGTGTATATGTACCACATCTTTTTAGTCCAGTCATCTGCTTTTGGGCATTTTGGTTGATTCCATGTCTTTCCAATTTTAAACAAAGGAGCAATAAACATGGGAGTACAGGTGTGTTTTTCAATCAGTGTTTTTGTGACTTTTGGGTAGATACCTAGGAGTGGGATTGCTGGGTCGTAGGGAAGCTCCATGTTTAGCAGTTTGAGGAACCTTCAAACAGTTTTCCATAGTGGTTGTACTAGTTTGCATTCCCACCAGCAGTGCAGGAGAGTTCCTTTTTCTCCACATCCTTGCCAACATTTGTTGTTGCTAGTTGTTTTAAGGTGTGCCGTTCTCACTGGGGTGAGGTGGTATCTCATTGTGGTTTTAATTTGCATCTCCCTTATTACAAGTGATGTTGAACATTTTTTCATGTGCTTATTGGCCATGTGCATTTCCTCTAAGCCTTTTATATGATTAGAAAGCTGTACATATTCTGGATGTGTATGGATTATGGACAATGTACATTTCTTCACTATTCTTGGGTTTTAATCTCTATCTGACCACAATGGCTGTTGTGTTCCTGAGCATTCATCCCTACACTTACCTTATTGTCTAAAGAAAGGAAAACACATTTCTATTATTTAAAATCTTTGAAAGAACACCTCTTTGATCTTAAAAAGAAATCTTAAAAATTATAACATGTTCCAAAACCTGATTTTTAGAATTATCTGTGTTCTCAAAGATCATATAGGTTACAATATATGAGAAATGAATGCTAGATTATATAATTAATCAAAACTTTATTATCAGAAAATTTCCTGACAGATGGCTTGTAAAGTCAATAATGACAAAAGGGAATTGAAATAATATCTGTGCTTTTAGTAGCAAAGCTAGAAATTTAAAGCCTACAAATAAATAGCAAAATGAACCATTATTTTGCAAAAAAAACACCCATAGGCTAGACCCATAATGGATATTTGGGTTATATACTGACAGAGGAGAAAAATACAGCAGAAGGTATTTCAGTTTCCTTAATTTCCCTTTCCTTTTGAGATTTTCCCCAGGTAGAAGAGAACAGAATGAGTTAACATTTAGCAAACGGAGTAATGGCAAATGAATCAGTAAAGATACAAAAGGGCTTGGCAAAATGGCTATGATATGTAAAATGTGTTTTTTGGTTTTAAGGTTTTATAATACCCACAACATTTTTTTAAAGATTTATTTATTTGTACATACAGAACTGGGGTACAGGCCAGAGGTGCAGGGGCGGTGAGAGGCTTCACCAGAGACAGAGTGGGGAGCAGAACAGGCAGATTGACGAAGTACACTGCTGAGGGGAGCAGTGGGCAAGACAGAAGAGGTCAGTTGCACCATGTGGTCACCTCCGGGGCAGACGGGAATGGAACTCATGCAGAAGTGGCTTTAGATTCTCAGTGCAGTGCTTTAACCCGCTGCGCCACCAGGGAGGGCCCTATAATACCCACAACATTTTTAAAAATTTTATAATAGTTTATTTTTACATTTTTTTGTGCATTTTCCCATCTTAGTTGCAATCCTCTTGGGTTTCCCATCACCAAATCACCCATGTGCCATCACCATAGTCCAGTGCATTTCCCTCCCCTCACTGTTTTTGATCCCATTCCCCACTCCATCCCCACAAAATGTCTCTGGTGTATAGCTGTTCATCATTATTATTTTCTCGCCTGTTCCATTATATTCCTGCCATGAGAGAAACCATCTGGTATTTTTCCTTTTCTTTCTGGCTTATCTCACTAAGAATGATCTTTTCCAGCTCTGTCCATGTTGCTGCAAAAGATATGTGTTCTTTTCTTTGGTTGCTGAGTAATATTCCATTGTGCATATGTACCACATCTTTTTAATCCAGTCATCCATTTTGGGGCATTTGGGCTGTTTCCATGTCTTTCCAATTGTGAATAAAGCAGCAATAAACATAAGCGTACAGGTATCTTTTTGAATCAGTGTTTTTGTGTCTTTTGGGTAGATACCTAGGAGTGAATACCCACATTTTTTAAAACTAATATCTTCAAGTAAGGTGTGGGTCCTTATTTTTTAAAGACTTTGATCATTGTGAACCATAAATTTAAGGGATTATTTAGATAATAATTCTACAATGCATATTGCCTTTTAAGGTTTATACTCTTAATTTGAACATTAAAATTTAGAATATTGTACTTTTGTGTTTAATTGCTATTTTAAAAGGCCTTTTAGAGTCATATGTATGCAGACTTGTTTTTGTTCCAGATTCAAGTTTGATCATTAACCTAGATTAGTACCTTAACCTAGTATCAATGTAAGTTTTCTCTGATTGGCAACCTTAACATTAAAGGAACTCTGTCCTTTTGCTTAAGATTATTGGTCTTGGGTTATATAAACTGGAAGGAATATAAACCGTGATAAATACTGAAATGGCATGAGTAATCTGACATTCTCACAACACTGCGAGAGATGATATTTGTACTTTATTTTCCCCCAAGACTTATACAGTCGGAGTAGAGAGGGAGGAATTAAAGAGAACAGGACTTTAGTAATAAGCTTAATCTAGTTTCAAGCTTTCTTTAGTCAGGGCTGGATAGAAATATACACTTCTCAGTTCTACATACCCCATTGCTGTTGTGATCAAATCCATGAAGAACCTTAGTACACCTGGAACAAATTTGTTATTTCTCTAGAGGCTCATGAAGATATGTTTGAGTTGTACTTCAGTGTATATAGACATTTTTGTATCAAATTACTAATCTTGATATATAAACCCTATACATTTTTAATAGTAAGTTCAAGAGATAATCTATCACCTTTTAAAATGGCAAATTATACTTAATTATTTCTGACATTCTGTAATAATCAGATTCCCTAGTAAACCCTGTTCTCTAGAATTCAGAAATGCTTTGTCTTTAATATAAGAAGCAAGTTGCACCTTAACCTTACTATTGTTGGATTATAAATAGTTAACCTGATGAGTGGTGAAGTATTTATTATATGTCATAGCGTCCTTTTACAATTATGAATTCCTTCAGATCAGCAACCAAGTCTCATGCATGTTTATATTCCCTATAATTTATATACATATAATAAGTGGCATCCAGTAAATGTTAATTGAATGAATATTGTTGCTCTGTCTAATTGGGAAATTGCTTAATATATCACTTTAGCAGTTGGATTTTGATACTAAGAATGCTTTCCCAAACTACAACAGAATTCTTTTTCTTTTACAGGTGCTGGAGATATTGTCGCAATCATGATTGGCAATCTGAAAGGCACGAAAATTCTAAATTCTATTCAAAGTGGCATTCAAGTAACAATGGTCATTGAAGTCGGGAAAAAACATGGCCCTTGGGTGAATCACTATTCAATTTTCTTCGTTTCTGTGTCCTTCTTTATTATTACGGCCGCAACTGTGGGCTATTTTATCTTTTATTCTGCTCGGAGATTACGGAATGCAAGAGCTCAAAGCAGGAAACAGGTTTGTAATGGTCCTTTTTTCCAATTAAAAATATTTAATTATAGTTTCAGTGTCATGCATTTTAATGTACTTGACTTGCTACGCATTTTTCCATGCATATATTTTATGAAACTGGGTAGTTTTTAAAAGTATGTTAGTTTCCATGCTCTCAAATACTTTACTTTCTTTAATTTGTCTGTAGTCTTAATCCTGCCTGATTCAGTCTTCTAACATCTCATTAGGCGGCACAGTCAGAATTTAATTATATATGGGTTTAAAAACCTAGATCCTTTAAAATATTATTTCTAAATAACAAAAATGTTTCATACTCAGTACAGAAAATTTAGAATTAGAAAGTACTTGGGAAAAAACCCTTCACCCATATTTTTTGTCAGATATGATAAAAAAACTTTAGTCCCCACCCAGATGCAACTGTTATTTTACATATATGTGTATGTCTGTGAATATGTATTTGCATGGCAGGGCTAGATAAGAGAGTAGGCTGAATAGCATGAGAAGCTAGGTTTGCTTATTTTTTTTAATTAATTTATCAGTCACTCATATATCCATATGAATTTGGGGATATATTTTCACACTTCCATATGTGCATATGCTTCATAGACCCTCCACCAAAATTCTTATGACCGTGTCCTACCCCTTTGAGAAGGTAGGTTAAATATCTAATTGAGCATGTTATAATTCTAGACTCTAAACAGTCACTATTCATAATTTTTACCACATTTTAACACTGAGTATCAGCAAGTACAAAGTTTACAAACAAGAGAACAAAGGTCAAAACATCGAATAGGAAGTACCTAAGGTATGGCATTGATACTGCCCCTTTAAATTCCCACCTAGTCCCTGGACAGCCATTCCATGGTCATGTCCATGCATACATCTTCAGCTCCCTTGGCCCTTCCCTCTCTGTCTTAGACTTGCTCACATAACCCAACCCTGGTAAACTGCTACTTACCACTTACTCTATGCCAGGCCCTTGCATAGCTGACATAGCCAAAAAACATTGACATCATTGACATCTATACAGACTGATCTCTCTTTAAATTTATGACCACAAACTCAGAGCCTTTAATGCTGGCGCTATTCCATGTTTTCTTAGATATATTCCTTTTTCCTTAAACTTCCAACACCTCTTCTAACTCTAGTCTCAACTTGCATTTTAGATCCTATCCTACTATGGAAACTGAAGTAATCAAGAGTATTTCCACAAATCACCACATCTGCCCAAGCTACCTGCATCTGTGCCTATATCTCATATTCTCTGCCTTGTCTTCTGTTACTGTGGACACAACCATGCTACTATTGCTTCCATTTTCAAAAGAAATTTTCTTAACCCCAAGTAGAAACCTTGGAGTTTCTATCTCACTTCCTAATTAACCTCTATCTGCCAATCCTGTTGTCTCTACCTTTACCTTCATTATATATCTAAAAACTAATTACTTCTCACTATTACTTCTTCTATCCTGGTCCAAGTTGCCATCATTTCTTGCCTCCTCTCCTCCCAGGTATTCTCTGTATAACAACATAGTGATTTTATGTTTCTCCAGAATACTCAGTAGGGCATTAATTCTTTCAGCTGATCTTATAGTAGGGGCAAGAATGCATTTATATGTCTACTGAGAAGTTTTTCCTAAGGTAGTGAAATTCTAGCCACATGGTGCATGCTTGTCTCCAGTAATCAAAGAGGAGCCCGATTATTTGTGACGGAGGGAACAGTGAGGATTTCTATATGACAAGAAAGCTAATTGAATTTAAGAACATGAAAAATTGAAATCTTATTATAAAAACTTTATAAAGATTAGGCACCACTGTGTGATAATGAATGATGATTATTTCTGTATTTAAAGTTAATTGACGTCTAGCCTTCTCTTCAGAGAAGCAGCTTATCATATTGGTGGCAGGTTCAGCCTGTTACTAGCTGTGGTCAAAAGGATGTTTAAAATTCCTGTGCCAGGCCATTCAGTAGTTTCATACTCTGTTAATATTTGACATTTGTATACTTTGCTGTTTTTATCTCTGAGGTTGGAAAGAAATTGGTATCTAGTGTGACTAACTATTCAAAGGTTATAGTGACAATGACAGGAGTGTTTGGTTTTCATGTTTCTGGTCAAGTATGTGTTTCTGTATTTTAAGTGCTATAATAAACCTATTAACACGGCATTACACTGTGCCAACACATAATACATTGTGTAAATAACTGCTAGGCATTGGACAAGATTCATTGGATATTTAACTCTTGCTTCATTGTTCATTTTAGCAATTTTCATAGTTTAAAATATAATTTATAAAAGCTATCTTCTTTACAAATGGTCAAGGATGGCATTCAAACTTCACCTTTTAGAAAAGGTTTCTGACAGATTTTCTTTCACTATTTAATATCCTTATCAATTGAACGTGTGACTGGTAATCCATTTTACTTATAAATATTTGGGGGTGCTAGAATGCCATTCACATGTTACTTAATTTTCATTATTTCCTATTTGTTTTTGAAAGGTAGAGCTTCATGTATCTGATATTTGCAACTATTTACCTGTGTTATCCCTATATTAGTGGCAATGAAACTAAGTTATATAGACTTCCTTTCATTAGACTGTTAGTAATTCATCAGAATATTCTGGAATTTCTTCCTTCTAAACTATTATGTTGCAACTATATAATGTTAAGCAGACTGAGAGCTGTTTAAATTTTTATGACTAAAATGTCCAAATATAATGGGCAACATGGAGTGACTGCATGGCTGACATGCCATGGTGTGATGTTTAAGAATACACATCACCACCAACAAACATGAAAAAATGTTCAACATCACTTGTAATAAGGGAGATGCAAATTAAAACTACAATGAGATACCACCTCACCCCAGTGATAATGGCACATCTTAAAACAACTAGCAACAACAAATGTTGGCAAGGATATGGAGAAAAAGGAACTCTCCTGCACTGCTGGTGGGAATGCAAACTAGTGCAACCACTATGGAAAACTGTTTGAAGGTTCCTCAAACTGCTAAACATGGAGCTTCCCTACAGCCCCAGCAATCCCACTCCTAGGTATCTACCCAAAAGACACAAAAACACTGATTGAAAAATATACCTGCACCCCCATGTTTATTGCTGCTTTATTTACAATTGGAAAAACATGGAAACAACCCAAATGCCCAAAAGTGGATGACTGGATCAAAAAGATTTGGTATATATACATATATACACAATGGAATATTACTCAGCAACCAAAGAAAATAAACAAATGTCTTTTGCAGCAACATGGATGGAGCTGGAATAGATCATGCTTAGTGAAATAAGCCAGAAAGAAAACGAAAAATACTGGATGGTTTCACTCATAGCAGGAGTATAACGGACCAGGCAAATAATAATAATAATGAACAACTATATGCCAGAGACATTTTATGGAGTGCAGTGGGGAATGGGATCAAAAATCAGTGGGGGGAGGGAAAAGCACTGGACTATGGTGATGGCACATGGGTGATTTGGTGATGGGAAGCCCCCGGGGATTACAACTGTGATGGAAAAATGCACAAAATGATGTAAAAATAAACTATTATATTATTTTAAAATTTTAAAGGACAAAAAAAAAAAGAATACACATCACCTGTTTTTGTGGTTGGAAAATTTTAAACAAGGTGAAAGTGTCAGTGGGCTATGACTGAATTAGGCATTAGAATGTGGATTCATAGCCCCACCTGGAATAGCTCTAATCTGAGACAAGGAAGATTATGGAAAACCTTAGGGCATGCTCAGACCAAACTAAATTTGGGAGTGACCACTATACACTTTGCTCTGGTATGAGACAACCAGCATTTTTGGGTATAGTGCATGGTTCCTAACTGCACTCAAGCACTTACTACTCAATGACAACAAGGCCCTGTTGGATTAAACATTGGCCAGTGAAACAACAGAGGGCTTTGTGTGAAATAGCAGCTGACACAGGTATACTGATAGTGTAACAGGCGAAATTTACTTATAATGAAGAGTGCTTTTCAGAAAAAAAAAACTTAAAATAGATTGGAAGGAATGTAATTCCGTTGGAAAGGAAAACACTTGTAAAGCCTTGGTAGTATGGTTACACAGACCTACTATATAATGCTAAAGAATGCTAGCACTCAGCCCTGGGAAAGGGCATACACTCTAACATAGTCTGTTAACTATTTTTTTTTAATTCAAATTGAGGCCTAAGGAGCAACGGAATGCCCTTCCATTTTTTTTTTTTAGCTATGGTAGCTCAGAGAAAGCATCATTTAATATTCTAAACTATTTTTGAAGTACCGACGTTCTATATCCTTTCTAGTATTTTGGCAGTATAGGTTTTCTCCCACTTCAGGTGTAGTCACCAAAGCACCCATTGTCCTCCACCATCGTCCTCTGTGCTCTCCTCTGGCCATTCTCACCCTTCTCCCTCTCCCTTTAAAGCCTGCAGATCTATGACCAACTTTCAATGGCTAGCATCAGTTTCTTTTTGTGTGACTCTTTGTTTTTTCTGTATTCCATGTATAAGTGACACCATTAGGGATTTACTTTTCTCCATCTGACTCATTTCACTTAGCATAATCCCTTCCAGCTCCATCCGTGTTACTACAAATGGCTTAAGTTTATCGTTGTAGAATGCTGAGTAGTTTATCATTTTGTGTCTCTATACCAAATTTTATTGATTCACTCGTTGTTCCCATATCTTGGTTGTAAATAGCGCTGCTATAAACATAGGAGTGCAGGTTTCCTTTCATTTTAGTGCTTTTGTAGTTTGGGGGTAGATACCTAGGAGTGGGATTGCTGGCTTGTGTAGCAGATACATTTTTAATCTACCGAGAAACCTTCATGCTACTTTCTATAGGGGCTGGACCCAGGGAGAGCAACTTTGAAATACCTGCAGATTCCCAAATTAATGGAAATTTTCTGAGTGAAATCTTAACTTGCATCACTGATCTCAGACTGATCTTAACCACAGGATTGACCAAAATAAGACAAGATAGAATAAGAATAATACCGAATGTT